AGCAATGATTTTTCATGATAAACTAGTTTCAAATTATTCTATGTTCTTATAACACGAATATATTTTGGTATTGTACAGTTTCTGGTGGGATTAGTAAGCTCCTTCAGGTATGATAAAGAAGTGGTGGATATGGATGTTGCCAAATTAGAGGCAGATAGATTACATGAAGCTATCAAAACAAGGCAGTTAGATGATGATGATGTTGTGTACATACTTAGTACTAGAAATGTCTGTCAGCTCAGAACAACATTTGAATGCTACAAGCAAAAATACGGAAATCCTATTGACCAGGTTCAGTTCCCACCATACCAAAGAGTTATCTGCAAATTCCGTTTTTCTCTTCATTTCACCTTTTCTGTTGTTGTTATTATTATTATTATTATTATTATTCGGCCAGAAAATGTAAGTACTGTTGAGCAGTTCATTTGGACATTTTCTGTTGGCAGGACATCAAGGACTGCGGGAAGGGTGATTTGGAATCTCTATTGAAGATAGTTGTATGGTGCATAGATTCCCCTGAAAAACACTTTGCAGAGGCGAGTTCATCCCTTTTGTAGCCAAATAAGTTATGATATGAAAGCAAACAGAAGGAAAGAAAGACTTTTCTGTATCCACGTTATATAGCATTTTGGATGATATTTTTAAACTGTTTGTGATCTATTTTGCTGGCTTCAAAACCATGATTTAAGCAAATTACTTTGAACAGACCCATAATTTTTTAATTCTCTTAACTTTCACCATTTGTTTGAACCAGGTTATTGGAACTTCCATCATTGGGCTGGGAACAGACGAAGATTCATTAACCAGAGCAATTGTGATGCGAGCAGAGATTGACATGATGAAAGTGAGAGGGGAGTATTTCAACATGTACAAATCCAACCTTGATGATGCAGTTGTCGGTGATACATCTGGAGACTACAGAGAATTCTTAATGACCTTACTTGGTGCAAGGGTCTGATGCTTTATGCATTCCAATTCTTGTTGCTTCAGCTAATATATATCGGATCTTAGAACTTCCAAAAAATATATCCTTTAGGGGATTATTATTGTCAGCAGAAATAAAACATAAACCTTCAGTTGTTTGTGTGTGATCCTGATTTTAATCTCTTGTAGATAAGTTTCAATTATTATAAATTATCAGATTGTCATTTCTGTTGTGAAGTTACTACACTTGTTCACTCAGATCATACTCAACACTATTTGCTCAAGATTCTGTTTCAAAGCTCTTTCATTTCCAGTTCATTGAAAAAATATCACAATGTACATTAAAATATAGCATTTCCTTTGTTTAAATGCCACCCAAAACACTATCCATGGCATCAGATATTTGGGAGGCTAAATTTTCATCAGCAGCAGTAATAACTGTACATGCTTCTCTAACTTCTATCAAGGCTTTACTAGGATGATGGACGAGTAAAGTAGTGGCAGGATTTTCAGGTTCAGCACCATCAATAGCACCACCATTCACTTGTTTAATGGATCCATCAATGCCCTTCTTCGACAGTTCAGTCAGTAGCTTTTCTAAATCTGGTGAACCCCAGTGTAACAATAGCCTTTGCTGCTGGGAGTTTGCTGTCTTGGACCCAGAAAGTAACCGATATTTACCATGTTCCATGAAGAGCTCTCCCCTCAACCTTGACATAGATTCCTGTTTCCAAGATTTCACCTTGAACGTGTAAGCCAAGTCTGTTACAATCTCTATTTCTGTACTATGGTTCATCCTTGGTATGCACAACATTTCATTTTCATGATAGAGATAAATCTTATTGGATTCAGAAAATTTTATCGGGCATCTTAAGTCCTTGGGGAACTGTCTCAAGAGAAAAGATGATAAAGCATGGTTAGACAGATGATATAACATAACAACACTACAAAGTATTGGTATAAGTAGATGGATTACCAGAAGTGATTTTGGCTGCAACGTCTTTAGTAAAGGTTGGACTTTCTGCAACCTACAGGAATTAAGATCAAAGATAAAGAAATAGTACTTAGTGGCAAGCAAATTACATACTTGGATGCATTAAACAACAGGGAAGAGAGAACAGAGATATGACCCTATTCCAGAAGTAAACGAGCACTGAAGAATCTTCATTTCCATTGGCTTGAATGGGAGAAGAGCCATGTTAGCATCAAGTCCACTCTGGAAAATTCGCACACATTTTTCAGTTTTTCAAAAGCCATTTTTAACATAATTAGATAAAACTCAAAACCAGGCCAACCTCAACAGAAAATTAAGATTTTTATGTAGAATGCATAGGGGAAATGGCACTTCAAAGAAGCAGAGAATAAATTAGCACCTCAAGAACAAGTAAAGAGTTCTGATCACTGCACCAGCGACGAAGCAAATGAACAACTGCACCCAACCGTAAACTCCAGTGAGGGGAAAACACAATACATGGTTCCTGCCAATTTTTTCTATGGAAATAATGTTAGCTTCTAGGAATGAACATGAAAGCCACAATTACCATACAAGTTCATAATGACATCCAAAATCACCGTTCAGTTTCAACATTTTTTATTTCATTATCAAACTTTATGCTCTAAATTATGATGTAGATATTTTCATCCGGAAAAATCATAAAGTAGATATTTTTCAACATGACAGAAGAATAAGCATGATCATCTCTTACAATAATTCAGGTGAGTGAACTGCAGAAAATACTTGAATCTTTCTCTCTTTCATAAGTTTGACATGTCCAAACAAAGGCTCACCAGAAAAAAGCTGTCAAACCAACAAAAGGAGAAAATAAAATGTCATATTCTTTACATGTTAGGACTGCTGCAAATCCAGTAGAACTTATAAATAAGTTTGAGAAAATATGTCTCTAATGAAGGGTATACCTTCTCTTGCCGCTGTTTGCACAACCACTCGGGTATTATATTCATGTATGCCAATAATTTTTCTGCTACAGAAGAGATGATATACACAGGAACCTGCACCAAAGATATAGATAAGAGGATCTCAAGGGTCTGACATAAATCAATCAAAAATATCCTACTAAACAGTAAATATCTTTGTTTTCCTCCACTAAGAACCTGATCTCATAAAAATTAGGTGCTTTATTCCAGTTATTTAACCTTTTTTTGAAATGAAAGTTTTGTAGCTAGTGGTGAAAGAGAACAACATGCGTTGATTTCCAAGTTGTTCCAAGTCACAAAACGAATGACAGGCTCTAACAATAAAACTAGAGAGTTGAGAGGTTAAGCAGAAGAGAGAGTGCATCTGCAACAGAGACAAAGGAAAAGAAATGGAAAACATGCATGATCTAGATCTACACTTAGAGTTGAGGACTCCAAGAAAATTGAAAGCTGCTCCAAAAGCTGCAAAAGAATTCCGAGTCTATCAATGGCAATGAGGACTGAACCACCAGCTTTAACAGAATCAATGGAACAGGTACATATAAAAGCTAGTTTCTCTGCTTCCTCTGAAGTCCCATCATTCTTAAGCAAGGTTGCCGCTGCTTCTTGCCAATGGTTGTCCTCTTCCCTGCACATATTACTAATTAGAAACTGAATTTAAAATTGTGCCATATTAGGAGCCTAAGAAATACATTTTTCTAGTAAAAACAAGAGTCAAAAAAGACCTCACACTGTTAAACATTATGTTAGAGCAAAATTACCTAAGATTTGATGAAGTACCAGTAACTGGACCAAAGTTATTGGTATTGTTCTCAGCATCTTCCATGGTCTTCAAGGATGAAAAGTCTGAATATACCAAAAGATCATTCCCTTGAAGGGCATCATAATCAAATTCCATAGCATGTGAAGAACCAAATATAGAATTTGAAATACAAGCTGTATTCCCTTGTGGACAACTTATGGTCCAGTTGCAAGCTCCAATTTCCAAACCAGAGCTGAATGGTTTTATAATCAATGTTCCATTGTAGCAAGCTTCTTCTGCATATTTAAGTGTTTGAACTCTCCTTGTGCAATCTTTCACATCAGCTGCACTGAAGAGCACCCTATTTACATTCTTATACACAATATTTTGCCATCAATAAGAAATAAAAAGAATAAAATGATGATAGAAATGCAGTTTAATATATGTAAGCTTGTCAAGAAGCAATTAAGCTCTCTTTTTTTTTTGGTTCATTTATGCTATCTGCCATATAATATAATTACCTGTACAAGGGCATCCAAGCACCCAACTCCTCGCAGTCTTTGCCTAAAGCTATTTCCTTCAATGCAGAGGGAAGGACTTGAAGCTCTTCCCATCTCATCCATTGAGGGCAACCAGAATCCTTGGGTCCATAGAACTGCCTAAATTCCATGTGCATTGAAACAAGATCCTCCATTAAAAGCTGCCCAATTCTAGATGTTGCTTCAGTTGCATATACCTGACCAGGACAAAAGCAGAGCACAGCAAATAATTTTGGCCAACACACACACACACACACACACACACACAAAAGAAGACAATATTCTGAAACCATAATCTACCTTAGCAGCAAAGCCCTTGCTTCGAGTAAGAAAGGGCAAACCAAGCATGCCCATGGGGCTTGAAATCAACACAATGTCAATGAAAGAAGCATCCCAGAGGTGCAAACTTTTGACAGTTTTGTACCAAGGTTCTTCAAATATCAAATCGTTTGCATCAAGCTGTTTTTCAATTCTCTGCCTTTTCCGAACAACAGGTTCTGTCTGCGAAGACTCAACATCAAAACGACCAGAGAAAGCGGGTGGAACAGGGGAGAAAATTGTAAGAGCTGAAAAGTCGATGGGGCAATCAAGTAAAATCCTAAAACCGCATAAATTGAGCATGGAACATGGCGGAAAATGAAAGCCATCGCCTTTGCTGAGACAAGTCTGCAAAAATACAAGCTTGATGGAATGAATCCCCAAAAAAAAAAAAATTTCAAAAATATCTAGATATGTGTAGTAGCCATATCTACTTGGAGAAAGAGAGACTTACGAACTCCATGGAGATGCAGAATACTGTTTCTGAGTTAAGTGTGGTGGAGCACCCAATTTACAGGCGTCGCAAGGTGGGATTTTCAAGTTTCGAGGCCTGCACAACAAAATTTGGGGCAAGATAACGTCGAGAAGCTTGAGAGGAGATCAATTGTTGTTAAGTGAAGAGGCAATCGCTGCCGCCGATTGAGTGAAGGAGCCGCCGCTTTTTAAGTTTTGTTTCTGTGCACTACCACTTACAAAGTATTTTTCATGTTGTCTTTTTACTTTCATTTTTTTAAAATAATTATTTAAAATTTTTTTAATTAATTTTTTTAAAAAATTAAATGTTAAATTAAAATTTTATTTATTTAATTTTAAGAATAGTTTAATAAGTTTAATAATTTCATTAAACACATAAAATTTGACATTATTAAATATATATTAATAAATAAAATTTATTTAATTAAATAAAAAAATTATAAATGTTATATTAATATAAAAATTAATATCTATAATTTACTTATATAAAAATTTTAATTTAACAATTAATTTTTAAAAATATTAATTAAAAAATAAATTTTTAAACACATTTTCAAACAAATTTAAAACAACCAGTCTGCACTTATCCATCCTGATAAGGATGGTATTAAAAGACAAATTTTTTATACGATAATTTTATTCAACTTTTACATGTCATTTAATGAATAAATATTTCAATATCAAATCTCATATAAATTTAAAAAATCAATTATTTTTATGATATATCAAGTTATATAAAACATAAAACAAAAAAATTGTACAAAAATCATTTCCTTTCCGATAATAAGTACATATTTCGCGCTTGGACTTTAACGGGCTGTTAAACTGCAATTATTTTCTACGAAACCACTCCAGTGAAATAACCTCAAGAATTGCACCAGAAGATGCCTTCTTCAGATGTCGGAGGAAAAATTAGAGTGGAGATACTCAGAAACCACCCCAAAACACTGACATTCCAAACCAAAAAGAAAGAAGAATACCACTCCAGTAAAATAATTTTTATTAATATGTCACTGGACTAAAGTTTTAGTTATACCATGCTACGATGCTAGCGGTGCAAACAAAATGCTAGTGTTGTACCCAAAAAAAACCACAATGGTAGTGTTGCTGAACAAAGCCGGCAATCTGTACGGCATCAAAATCCCACAGATTTAACCGATAGATCTGAAGCCATGAGTTACTGATACTTTTGCATTGTACTGCCTAAATATAACTATTATTTTATTTCTAAGTGGGTCCAATTGACCAAACATTTGGCATTTTTTGCTGCAATGCAAAGAGAGCATGCCAAAAGTAGCAATCGGGTGAAGATGAGGAAAAGTAATTGAACTTAAAGGTAACCTTTGGACTTGACAAGCAAACATCAATAATGACTCCCATCTGTAACAATCGAGTCAGTGGTCATGGATCAATGACCACTCGAACTTGCCGCTGGAAAACACTCAATTGACCGATGGGGTCTGGCAGCAATGAGCTGGGAGGAGCAATTCCTGACAGTGAAATTGGTAATGGCATTATGGCATGCATAAACATGAACAATAAAAAATGCAACAACCTCCTATAGCACTGGCATTAAGCTAAAAGACTTTAACTTAACATATGAATGAACTGTCTTCTAAAAGTTATGCAAAGTTATTTCTTTTGGTTCAAAATTTTCAGAGCAATAACAATAATTGTGAGTTTGTGATAAACACTATGTCAAGTGACAACACTAATGTAGCTCACTATGCAAACCAGTAACCTAACATGGTAAACCACAATTTCTATGTCACTTCTTCTTCTTTGGTTCCCCAACATAATCATCTATTAGAGCTTCAACATCTTTCCAGAATAGGCCTTCCACCAATAATCCATCCTTCGTGAACCTGCAATCATTTAACAGGTCAGAAAGTTAAGAAACCAGATTTCTGCATGCAGAGAGAGAGAGAGAGAGGGAGAGATACCACTGAGTAACACTTTTGGTAAGCTCTACTGGCTTCCCAGCAGATATCGATTTTGGATCTGCACTTGCTATGATAAGAGTATAGAGATCAGAGAATCTTGGCAATTTTGAAGTGACAACCAAACCAGTGCTGGTGAAGGAACCCTGCAAGGACGAAATCACTATTTCAGACCAAGACAACACCCCTCAACACTTGCACAGTTGCACACATAAATAAAACCATCCAAGAAAGAACACTAATTATATTAGAGTTGAAGTTCTGCTAATCACAAACACATAGTGGAAAATGTTTAACAAACATTATGCAAAACACGGTATAAGAACAATTGAACTATAGTTTAATAAGTTCCAAGTAATCGTGAAAATGTCAAGAAAACTTAAATATGCTAAGCCTACAAATCATCATATAAGCTCAGATTAGAAGATCAATATCGTCACAAGACAAGCCAATGTAATAACAGAGGTAGCATATGGAAATACTTCATTTGAAAGAACAAAAAGAAAAAAAAAGGAAAAAAAAGTCTTACCACTGGAGGATAAGTAAATAAAATCGCATTCTTTTCTTTTTTGTAGATGATCAGCTGCATTATTCCATTGAAAACTACATACTTGCCAGAGTCAAGGATCAAACATTGATAAAACTAACACACTTAAGACCAAATGACACTGAAAATATCCTTCCAGTTGGGTTACCAAGAAAGTCTGGAACAGAAAAAATTAGAAATGGATATCATATGTTTTTATACCATACCAACAGCTCTGTCATGTCAGTTCAAAATATAGCTAATTCCCTTGGGTTCTAAGCATTATCAGTTTTCTGTGCATTCATTCTATGAGTTTTGGAAATTTGCACCTACTAAAATAAATTAGATACTCAAACACTGGACAGGACTGAGAACCCAGGAATCTCAACAACATTACATTAGGCTACATAATTAAGCTAAACTGTCAGTAGTAGTATCTCTATATCCAAAAGGAATCTCGAATAAGTTGGTCTATTACCTCTGTTATCAACTTTTTCAATGGTCTCTTTGGAAGGCTTACAAATTGGTGATATTCTAGTCTAAATCTAACCAAACAGGCTCCCAATTTGTTTCTATTCTCTTATGTTTTCAGGGACTAATCATTTTCATTCCCATTCCTCCAGTTTCTTGGCCACCAAACAGAATCTTATCTAACAGATAAAAGGGAAAAAACAAAAAATCAAATATTGAGAAAATGAAAGGATATAATACGATACAGGCGATCAGGAAATCGCGGTTCTCGGGGAACTTCTTCTTGTAAAACTGAGCGAAGAGAGCAATAACAATAATAATTGTCCCGATGAACAATTTCAGGTTGCTAATCCTCACATCTTCCACATATCCACGACTGGTTACAATCTATCATACAAAAAAAAGGGCCGATCCGTAAAAAAAATTTACATACAACACGGAAGACGAATGGATCTAAAGGATAGAATTAGGTTGTATAATCCTTTTACCTCAGAAACAGACTCATCAAGGATGTGCTTGATGGAGTGGTGATCCAGGAGATTGGCCTTTTTAGGGTTTTTGCTTCCAGTTTCCGATTTCTTTTCCGGCATTTTGAAGGGCTTCGTTTCGTCTGAAAACGCCTGAGCTGATCTTGGGAGCAGACAAGGAAACGGAAATAAACAGCAGCCCAGACTGGAGACCTGATATGCTGTGGTATGGATTATCGAGGTGAGAAAAAACTACGTCGTTTAATGGGCACTGCAGAAATGTTAAAAGGTTAAAATACCAATTTGGTCCCTCAACTTTTAGCTTCATATCAAAATTGTCCTTAAACTTCAGAAAATACTATAAATGTTCCTACACTTTAGTTTTTGATATCAAAATAAAACTTAGTCCTTGAACTTTGAAGACAAGTACTGACTTAAATCTTAAACTTTGAGTATAAATATCAATTTAATCATTCAACTTTAATTGTATATCAATTTGATATATAACTAAAAATATACTACAATAGTAAAAATATGACTGTTTAATTTTACATATAATTAATATTTTTAAAAAAATTGATTTTGTGGTAAAATAGTGAGTCACGTGACACTTTCATTGATAGAAGGAATACTTTAGTATTGAAAATTAAAGATTAAGGATAATTTTGATACTTTTTTAAGTTTAAAGATGATTTTAATATAAATCTAAAAATTGAGGGACCAATTTAGTTTTTCAACCATGTTAAAATAAATTTAAAAGGATATGAGGAAAATAATTAGGATTTAGGAAGGGTTAAAGCATTTAATTTCCTTCTTTTGATAACCATTAAAGCATTTAATTTATGACTGAATAATACTATAGATTTAATTTAATTAGAATATAATACTTAATTGGCTTAAGTATTGGAAAAGGACCCCAACTTTTATCAAATTCTCAATTGAAGTCCTCAACGTTTATTGTACTCAATTAAGGTCTCAAACTCATGCAAACTCTCAAATAAGGACCCAATTGGATGGAATCCTAACCATCCGTTAAGTCTAACATGATGCCCATTATAATTCGTTATACCCTCAATATGTGACATGCCAACTAGACAATAAAAAGCATTCTTGGACACAACAGGTTGTAATCCCACATCTTTCCTTTTTCTCCCATCTCTCCTCTTCCTACCCACTCCACGATTTGGGGGTGAAATCCCTAGAATTTTCAATTTGCTTCTTTTTTGTGCAATGTCTTGTTTTCCATCCAACAACGGCCCACCCCATCCCTACAACTTCTCCATGCAATAGCCGGCCTCTCTGTGTGCAAGTTCTTCTTTTTCTTCTCTGCCCAACAACCGGCCTTTTTTCGTGAAAGATTTGCTTCTTCTTCTTCGCCCAATAGCCGGCCTTTCTCCATGCAAGATCTACTTCTTCTTCTTCGCCCAATAGCTGCCCTTTCTCTGAGCAAAATCTACTTCTTCTTCTTCCACCAATAGCTGGTCTTTCTCTGTGCAAAATCTGCTTCTTCTTCTTCCCCCAATAGCTAGTCTTTCTTTGTGCAAAATCTGCTTCTTCTTCTTCGCCCAATAGCTGGCCTCTCTTTGTGCAAGATCCTTTTGTTCTCCGCTCAACAACCGGCCGTGCAAGATCTGCTTCTCCGCCAATAGCAGCCCACCCAATCCATAAACTTTCCCAGCCAATCTCTAGTCCCATTCCATAAAATTGGGGGCCGAAATCCCTAGAATTTTCACTGCCAATTCCTTCCCCATTACTTCGATCTTCATCTTCTTCTTTTCTCCTTCGATGTCGTTGATTTCCTATTAGCCTCTCTTTGCGGCTAACTAGCCTACCTAATGGCCAATTGCTAGTCCCATTTCACGACTTGGGGGTGAAATCCCTAGAACAGAAGCCCACCCAACGACAACAAGAGCACCCCCAGCTAATTAGTTTAGGTTTGATTGCTGCAAAAAAGGGAAACAGAAAATCCAAAAAATTGAGGTCAAGGTCAAGAACAATGCATATGCTTTTCTTTTCCTCCAATTGCTGTTGATTTTTTTTTTTTTTTTTTGTAGTTTTTCTTCTACAGTATAGTATTCTCTAGTGCTAGTTGTTTGTTTTATTTGGTTTAAGTGATGTGTTTGAAAATCTCACAGGGAAAATGGTCATGATTGGTTTAGTGTAAATGGGCTTCTTTCTTGATGTTATATGGCACTGCTTATATGATTGTTTTAGGTAAATGGGGATTCCGTGCTTGTATGTTAGCCATTATGGAAATGGTCATTTGATTGTAATCCATTATGTGACAGCAATGAAAATTATGTCTATCATCTATGTCTATTGTTATCTTGATACAAAATATATAATTTGTATGCTGGAAACAGACAAAGGCACGATAAACTTTGCCAAAATTGACAAAAATAGAACATATAATTGGTATGTTGGAAACAGACAAAGGGAAGATAAACTCTGCCAAAATTGACAAAAACAGAACATATAATTAGTATGCTAGAAATAGACAAAGGGAAGAGAAACTTTGCCAAAATGGTAAGAAAAACTTTGCCAAAATGTCAAAAGGAAAACATGGTGAAGGAAACCTTAAATATACTGGAGCTGCAACTTTAAACAGGAAAACAAGGGGAAAGAAACCTTAAATATACTGGAATTGCAACTTTAAACAA